ATGTCCAAATGGAAAATCAAAGGTAGTCATTTGGGGATTAACGAATGCCACTATTATGATTGGAAAATAGCATAGCAATGAAATATTCCTTTTTTGTATCCTACTAGGGTAGAAGAAAAATTAAGGTTTAGAGCATTTTTGATCTAGAGTCACATGAATAGTATTAGAATTTTTATCTACATCAAAACTATTCTAGTAATTTGGGACCAGCAGCTGGCATAATGGCTATGTTGCTGGGCTCCCATTGTAGTCGACCGCAATTTGAGTCCCGGACCCGGTGGCTTAAACTCATGCTGAGTGTGTGTGCGTGCACTTTCTGTCTCTCTGTCTCTGTCTTTCTGGAAAACGCACGGGCCCTATAACAAAAAACTCTCAAAAAAAAAAAAAACTATTCTAGTAATTAAAAAAAATTCTTGATGAATATAGCACTTTATTATAAACTCCTTACCTTTTAGTCATTGTCTTTTTCATTCTTTTATGTATGGCCACATAAAAGTTATTCACACACACACACACACACACACACACACAGACTGTTGGTAAGAACCCCTGCTTAGAATTTCACATCTGATTTGCCAGGCTTTAAGAGAACATTTTCTTGTATTCTTATATTAATTGAATTACTTAGAATGGCTCCATATCAAATATAATACATTTATCTCTTCACTGTTCTAACTCACTTATGTTATAAACTGCAATTCTTATTCTCTTAGAGTCTACATAATGTGTAAGGAGTAATTTCACTTTTAAGTTATGAGATAACCATATGTTTACCCAGCTTAATTAATTTTCTCTTGGAAAATGTTCCCTTAATTATGTCTTGCATATTTGAATGATTCCCATTTTCTACTTGTGTTCAACAGCACCTGATTCAAACAGATTGATGAGTTAGGTCAGAGAAAGATTTTTTTTGGGGGGAGGGGGGTACAGGGCATGTGTGTTCACTGACAAAAGAGAGAGGGGAAGGGAGAAAGCACCCCTACTGTGGGATGGCCATGCCACAAATCCCTTCTCCTCTATTTCTCCCTCCTTTTGGGATTTTGCATACCCACAAATGCCTATCGTGTGTTATTTCAAGCCTCCAGATTCAGGACTAACTGCGCAGCCAGCCATATGGGACTCGGCCACCATCACCACCACCACCAGCTGGCCTAGGAAAAACAATACTTCTCTATGCCATCTCCTTTGATAACGAACTCTACGTGTTTGACCTGGCTGGCATTTCGTATCCTATTTTTATCACCTCCTTAACTCTGTTAAGATACCTGATGGTATCTAACATGTTACAGGTATGGAATTAAACATGCTACAATGTATATTTTAACTAAAATTGTAGAGCCAAGACAACTCACTGTTCTCTTCCTGCTTTCTCTGAGAGACAATCATTCTGCTCCTCTCTCAGCCAATTATCTTTACTGTTTCCCCCCCACAGGCACTTTGATTTGTTTCACCTTAACAACTTTCCTTTGACTACCGCTTTGTGTGCTTCAGTGGCGTTGTCAACACGCACATGAAATAAAAGTTTAAAGGAGTTACGCCGCCCATTGGAGCCAAAATCATGTTTTGTGTTTGGGTTATTGGAGGAAGGCGAGCAGAGCTAGAATTTTCATTCCTGCCTTACCCAAACAACAGGCTAATTACCCTTTTTAGTCAAGCTGTGAAAGCTCAACCAGTAGGAAGTGAAGTGGTTTTTCCCTAGTCCCAGCACAAGTTATTAGCAGCTGTGGATCCAGGAATCTCTCCCGTCTCTGTGGGAGTCCATCAGATACTAACCCATGTGTTCACCGAATTGGAAAAAGATATTTTCCCATTCTTCCTGAGAGTGACTGAGTGTACTTGCTGATACCGATTCTATTCCACCTTCGAATTTGCCGATTTTGTCCTAATTATTTGATGTCTTTCTAGAAAAATAGGTGCAATAATATTAAGAGAATTAGGGGGGCTCACATTTTCAGGGAAAATGCTTTAAACAATAAAAGGTTTTTACTGGTAGGTACAAAGGAGAGGGATCTGTCAGTGATAGAGAGATATCTGAATAGGACCATGCCTCCAAAGAATGTTTAGAGATTTAATTAAAAGCGAGGACATCTAGTGAATTAAAATTTAATACCAAAGATTGCAAAATCTAAAATTACAGACTACAGAGGAGTTGCCATTTTAAGAGCATACCTTTTTATAGAGTCAGTTATCAGGTTTAAGCAGAACAGAACATATGGGTATCATCCAACAGAAGAGAGTCCTCTGAAACAAAGAGCACTTAATAGACACCTGAGGGAAGGAAAATTTCTCATGCCCTTTTCTCATCGGCTCACTTTGTAATAAAGCACATTTGAACATTTATAATGTTTCATGACAAATATTGGAATAACATGATTTACGTTGAGGCCTACACATTGTAGTTATTTTAGGCTTCCCCCCTCTCCAGGAATGACAAATTAACCTTATATAATTGGTTTTTACTTGTCCAGATATTTAAGACATTTAGATTTTATAGTTTTCTCATTTCCTTTTTTAAAAATATTTTTGCCATAGAGAAAGAGAGAAAGATCTCATTTCCTTTTTTTTTTTTTTAAAGGTTTTGCCATAGAGAGAGAGGGGGAAAGAGAGAGAGAGAGAGAGAGAGATCACCCTCCCCTCCCCCCCACACACACAGGAGGGATGGCCATGCTGCAATACCTTCTCCTGGGATTTTGGACATGCATGCACATGTGCCCAGCATGATTTTCAAGCTGCCAGGTCTGAGACTCGAACCTCGGTTGGCCATGTGGGAATTCAGCACCATGCCACTTGTTGGTCAGCATTTCCTTTTTTAAATGTTTATTTCCTTCTTCATAAGAGAAAGAAAGAGAGACAGGCACGCCCCCACAGGGTCCCCACCCTGCTATCCACCCCTCATCTCAGCCGCCCCACACGCTCACATGCCTGGCGTGCTCAGAGAGGTCTTGGGACACAAAAACAGGCAGGACTGGTCTCGCATGGGCCCAGTTGTGCTGTCATGCACCACCTGACCCCTTTTTAATTTTCTTTTTAATAACCATTTTTATTTGCAGAAATACATTAAAACTCAAAGTTTTTCTATTTGGAAGTCAAAGCTCTCTAAGGAAGTTGAAATTCTCTCTCTGGAATATTGCCCATCCTTTCAAAAATGTATCCCAGCATTCAGAGCTACACTTCTACTTAAGTAGGTAACACTGAACATTTGCAGAATGAGTGGATAAATGACATGAAATGGCCCACGTAAAACACGGATTAGGATTTCGCTCGCAAACTCTGCAAGTAAAATAGTAACATGATGTCTTATAAAGAATTAAATTTTATAATATCTGGAGATTTTGAAAAATGGAAGGGACTTCTTGAATTTGAAAATGACAGAGCTGCGAATTCACTAGAGGGGTAAGTGCACAATCCATTATATATTTTCTAACACCATGAGCAAGTCAGACCAATGCCATTTTCCCTGGGAAAAAAGAGACAAGTTCTATATGAGAAATGGTGGCTCCAACAGCTGCAGTATTCTTTCAAAAACAGGAAAACTAGGAAGTATGAAATAATTTGTGTTGATGAGCTGCAGATATGGAAAGTGAACCTTCCACTGAAGCCACATTCACCCACATCGTTGGAACAGGGGAAGAAGGCAGACAGGGAGCTCCCCCTATGGAAGCAGGTTTTTGTTACCAACATCCAGGAATACCTTCACAGCAGTTTTGCCTTATCCTAAAGTGACACGAGTCATAGAGCACCAACTAAAGGGTGTGTTGGTGACATGAGTATGTTATATGTCTCTGTTCTTGGGGGTGGAAGAAAACTTGGAAACCACTGAAGAATGTTGGCATTTTCTGTCCCTCCCCCCCCAAAAAAAAATAAAGAAGAAGAAGAAAAAAAAGGTGTTGCCTGCAGTCCTATCCCTGTCCAGTGATTCTCAGGGAACATTTTTCATACGTGGATTGGATCTTTTGCTTTTTAAAGTGATGACTCCTAAATGTGGCCTTCAGCTTTTTTCTCTCTGGTCAACATATTTCCGGAAGCCTCCTGGATAGCTTCGCCATGATTTCATCAGTACCTTAAATGACTAAAACGTATCTGTTCCTTCTCCCCGAACTAAGTCTTCCAATTTCATCTGATGACACTCATTAAGCCACTGTCAGGCCTCTCAAGCTAGATTTCCCAGATTCATCTTTCATTTCTCTCCTCTTCCTACTTCTCCAATACATTACTGGCTTTATTGTTTGTTTATTTATTTATTTATTTTAAAGAGAGATTTTTGCTATAGGGTGCATATGCTCACCAGAGAAACAGAGAGAGACTGAAAGACAGCAAGGAATCACCCCCCAGAGGAGGATGATCATGCCACAATCCCTTCTCCTCTTGGGATTTTGGGCACACGTGCACACACACCCAGTGTGAATTTTTTTAAGCTGCCAGGTCCGAGACTCAAACCGTGGTCTACTACATGGGGGTCCAATGATGTAACCACTATGCCATCTGCTCGTTCCTGTTACTGGCTTCTTAGAGCATTGAAACCAATTCCTGGACTTCACTTATTTCTGATCTGATCAATCCTTTATGCCACTGTCAAAATATTTTTCTTCAGCGTTGTCATACATAGCTCATGCCATACTGCTGTTTCAAAATCAAGTCTTCAACGTCTCTCAAGTGCCTCTCACGGGGACAAAACTCCATGATTGTCATCCAAACTACACCACCTTGTTCTTGTCAGGATCCAGATACCTGGTCCAACATCCTGGAGTTGTCAGTTACACCTGAGAGCCCAGCCATCACCTCTTTATAGGTCAGTTCTTTGACTTAGAAAGTCTCCTCTTAGGGCTGTATAAGGATTGAATGAGTTAATAACAGGGTCAGGTACTTAGTGTCTATGGTATTAGTGATTCTTGCTAAGGTCGATCTTTATAACCTAATAAACAGGACCACTCCCCATGTCCCAGACAAATCTTCACTTCCAGCATTTCTGAGCATTGTTCACGTTGGGTCCTCTGCCTTACCTGGATATCACCTAACATCTACGCATTTTTTAAAATGTACCTCCAATACCAACTCTTACCCTGAAACTTTCAAAAATTTATCTTTTTCTGAGTTCAAGATTCATCTGCTCTACCTTTATTCATAATAAATGAAATAATATACATTTTAGCCTTTTTAAAAAGGCTTTTTCTGGGGACCAGCAGTTGGCATAATGGCTATGTCACTGGACTCCCATGTAGTCCACCATGGTTCGAGTCCCAGACCTGGTGTCTTAAACTCACGCCGGGCGTTTGTGCGTGTGTGCCCAAGATCTCAAGAGGAGAATGGAGGAGAAGGGAATTGTGGTGTGGCCATCCCCCCTGGTGGGTGATTTCTTGCTTTCTGTCTCTCTCCGTCTTTCTGGCAAGCGTATGTGCTCTATAGCAAAGACCTCTTCAGGAAAAGAAAAAAAAAAAAAGTTTTTTACCATAGGGCATGTGTGCTTCCCAAAGAAACAGAGACAATGAGAGGGAAAGTAAGAAATCACTCCCTAGAGGGGATGGCCATGCCACAATCACTCCTCCACTCTCCTTCTGGGATTTTGAGCACACATACTCACACACCTAGTGTGAGTTTCAAGCTGCTAGATCCAGGAATCGAACCACTGTAGGTCATGTGGGAGTCCAGCATGTTAAACACCTACTGGTCCCCCATTTTAGCATTTTTAAGTCCCGAAGAGAGATAATATTCTAGAGAGCCTTCCATTCTTATGCTGACTTTCTTACTGCACCCATTCTCCAAGCAATTTTTAATGTTATTTTATTTCATTTATTCATAAGTGACTGCATTTGAGATCATTTTTAAAAGCAAAATCTGAAAAAAAAAAGTATAACATTTAAGAGGAAATAAATTAGAATCTTTGCTAAAACAAAACATTTTAGGATTCAGGGACATTTTCAAGAGTAAGGATTTTCAAGATTTTTAAAGTGTAGATATAGACGATACTTCTGAGCAGTCTAAAGAAGCAAGTGTAGCATTGTGCTAGTATTGTTCCTCTCAATATTATTTTACAGATGATTTTAAAACGTGGATGACTTTTTTCTCCTTCAACTTCAGATCTTCTGCTATAGTTGATGCATGGCAAGATTTTAAAGGTTGGCCTCTCATGGAGATAAATTACACCTGTTAAAATTAGTCCAGGTGCAGCCAATTAATTGTGGCGTCAGCAACTCCCCAGTGAAGTAAGACTAAGCTTTCCCACCATGTTCTCAACTCCAGGCTTCTTTTTCTCACATGATGGATCTTCACTTTCAATGAGCAAAAAGTGCCCCCATGTGGTTTGTACTTGGCCTTGGATTGTTTTTTACCCAGTCTAAAGATCATGCACTTTTCATAGGTCAAATAAGAAAAAAATAGGAAGAAAATGGTACTTACTCTGTGCTATGGTTTAAATGTGTGCCTCCAAATGCATGCTAAAAATTAGTGCGTGATCCTAACCAGGTGGAGAGAGTAGAGATAAAATTCAACTAGGGTTTTGAAAGGTGGAGCCTTTGGAAGTGACTCAGGTGGGGCCCCTGTGAGTAAATCCTGGTGGGTTTATAAGGAGAGGGAAGGAGAGAGACACGCTACTGTGATCTTGCACTATCTTACTCTGTAGTGGTTCACCAGCAAGAAGACCCTCACCAGATGCAGTCCTGGACCTTGGACCTCCAAATCGTGAGCTAAATAAACCTTTTTTATTTTTTTTTTAATGAACTACCCACGCTCATGTATTTCTGTTATTAGCAACAGAATGATCCAGAATACCCTGGCTTCTAATTCTCTCCTCTTTGACTTTTCTACCAGTAGCAGATTACCACTGAGGTAATTCATCATTCACTAGTCTGAAATCTGTGCCCTCATCCCATCTCCCATTCATCCTCAGCCTCTCTTAATGGACCAATCCGATCTAATGTTTTCATGAGGGAAACAAAATGAAAAGCTTTTCATAATGGTCTGTGATGGACTCCTCTTTTCTTCCACTTATTCGTTCTTTGTTTTCCATTCTCACTCTCATTTCTCCAACCTTCTAGGTCCCCACCAACTTTTTCTAATATCGTGTCTGTGTTTTATTCTTATAAAAAGTTTATTTGGAGGCTGGCTCCATGACTTGGTAGTTAAGGCACCTGGATCCCACTTGCAGTTTAAGTCCTAGACCCCTCAGCTTGAGAAACATTTCAGGTGTGTATGTGTACTCCCCAAACCCCCAAAACAGGGAGAGTTGGAGAAAGGATTGAGGGGGTGACCATTCTCCATGGGGTTGCTTTTCTCTCCTTCCCTCACCGTGTCTGGTAAGCACATGACCCCTTGAATGACAAAAATAAAAAATCTATTTTGATTTTTGTGTGTATTCTTGTTTTGTTTGGTTAAAGAATTATTTTTATTTACTTTTCTTTATTATTACTATTTTTTAATTTGACCGTGGAAAGAGAGGGGAAAATGAGAAAGCAAGCTTCCAGGTCCATAATTTGAACCACAGTCAGACATGTGGGAGTCCAGCGCCCCAACCACCACACCACCTGCCAGTCCCTTGTGTATATTTAACACCTTTACATAAGTGACATTGGGCTACTTATGTTACTTAGTACTCTGTCTTTGATAGTACCCACATTATTATGTGCACATTCAGTGCATAACTTCTGGCCACTGCCCTGTATCCACAGCAGAGATAAGGAAACTTATCTAGCCCACCAGGGGGCGATCACACTGCCACCAGCTCCCACAGACAATGCTTTGATTACTACCCACCAACATGTTTCACGGTTGGCCTGTATTTTAATTCCTTTGAGAAATGCCAAGAAAGAAAAATCTGGGATCCTGCAATATACTCCTACTGAATTTGATCATTTCCTGCCAGAGTGTTCTCCAAGCGGATCTCAATTCATCCTCCCACCAGCTACGAATGAGGGTGCCTATAACTCTTGGGCAGGCTATTGTGTGTGAGATGATACTTCATAGTAGAATTGCTAATAACTTACCATTCTGATGAATCATGAATTGGAACAAGTCTTTGGTGTTTGTTAACCATGGGGATTTGTCTGTCTATCAATTATCTATCATTAGCCTGTTGTTTTCTGTTCTTTTGTTTCTAGTTAAGGGTCCTACTTTCTTCTGGTTGATTTGCTAAAGTTTCCACATTTTTAGATATTCTATGTGTGGGCCCTTTGTCACACCTTGTCAAATAAGTTCTCAATATCTGTCATATCTAGCTTTGTCCATGGTATCTATCACTGAGTGGAAATCCTTAGTTTTTGCTTTCTGGTATATGCTCGTGAAGGTATAAGAAGTCTTTTCCTACCTAATGAAGAAGATAATCTCATCATATACATCTGGACATACATATATACAAGGGGATTGAAAAAGTTTTGGGGGGAACCAGCAGTTAGCGTAATGGCTATGTCGCTGGACTCCCACGTAGTCAACTGCGGTTCGCATCCCGGACCCGGTGGCTTAAAACTCACACCAGGCGCATGTGCGTGCGTGCCCAAGATCCCGAGAGGAGAATGGAGGAGAAGGGATTGCAGCGTGATCATCCCCCCTGGGGGGTGATTTCTCATTTTCTGTCTCTCTGTCTCTCTCTGTCTGGCGAGCGCACATGCCCTATAGTGAAAAAACTTCTTAAAAAGAAAGTTTTGGAAACACTGCATTAAAGTATGAGTTTATTTGGTGCAAAATTTTTTTTTAAATCCATGCATAGTTTTTCCTAATACACATTTTTCATGGACTTTATAAAGATCCCCTCATAGTCACTTTTCCCAATGTCATCTACTAACCCACCAGGGGGCAATCAGACTGCTGCTTTCACGTTAATTTGTAGTGCAATTTTAATCATGGTACAGAATTGTTTCTTTTTTTAACCCTATTTGTTCTGGAGCCAGTGTTAGCCCTTTTTTATTACTGTGAGGATGTGTGGTATATTTTATGATCTGATAGGACAGCTCTCTCCTTACTCCTTTTTTTGGAAAGACCAAATGAGCCAGTCATGGACTTTTTTTCTTTCACATAACCTTTATAGTAAATTCAGTTAGACATTTGATTGAAGTTTTCTTGACCGTGTAGATTACTTTGGGAAGAATTGACATCTTATAATATTAGCATCCATCCAGAAACAATGAAAGAGTATGTAGATCCATTTCTATAGCCTTTGCTCAGTTTAAGCTTTTTCTCAAAAGAGGTTTTCTTGTATTCTTAGTTAACGCCTACGTGCCACTATTTTTTATTATCATTGTAGGTCACATCTTATTTTTCATGTTTCCTAGATAATCAATACAAGATAAGAATTGATTTTTATAAGTTGATATATCCAGCAACCTTGCTAAATTCCACCATCCTTGTTCCAGTAGCTTGTATATTGATTCTGTTGTTGTTGGGGGTGTTTCCTAGGTAAATTATTTCACCTGTCATGATGACAGGTCAGTCTCTCTCTTGAGCAAGCAGTATACAGCAGTTCTTTTTCCTTTCCTGCAACTTTCACTGAAATTAGATAAAGCAGTAGTGGTGCTAGTGGATATTCTTGTGTATCCCCTACCTTAAAAAGAATCATTTTGGTTTGAGTTCCATAGTGATGGCAAAATTATCCCTTTCCCCCCCCCTTTTTTCGCTTTTTCGTTCTGTTACAGAATCTATGAATTTTAAGTAAACTTCAAACCATCCAGAATTCAGATTACTTTGCCCACCCTGTCTTACAACTAGATGTGGTCTTGTGACTAAATTCTAGTTAAGGGATATAAAGAGAAGTAAAGTGTTGATTATTTGGTTATGACTTTAAAAAAGGAAAGAGTATGACCTCCCACTCATCTTTCCTGATGACTGAAATTCGGATGTAATGGCCAGCGCGTATGTATAACACATGGACGTGACAGAAAGCACCTGTGGCCATGAAATTATGCTATTAGTCCTGCACTACTGTTACTCACAAAATATGCTTGGAGGAAGAACTTTAATTTTTATCATTTTTATTTATAGCCTCATGTTTAAATGCCAATATGGACAGATAAAAAAGTCTCATCCTGAGACCAGC